ACAGTAAAATAAGACAAAGTCATTACTTTGAAATTCAAAAGGTATTTTAGTTAGTCTGATGTTCATTAGGGTTTTTAAATTTTGTTTAGATGCTCAGTGTACATCTTGTTGAATGGATATTACACCTAAGCAGTTGTGTGGCCATATTTTATCTTTGCTCATGAATAGTAATGAATACTAATCCAGCTTTCTGCCGTTCAACTTCCAGAAAGCAAAGCAATAAGAGGGGATTTCTGGGGGTCCCTGGGTGGCTCAGTCGGTTAAGCATCCAACCTCAGCTCAGGTCATGATCTCATGGTCCATGAGTTCGAGCACTGCATCATCAGGCTGTCTGCTGTCAGCACAGAGACTGCTTTGGATCTCTGTCCTGCTCTGTTACTGCCCCTCCCCCAGCTTGGGCGCGCACGCGCTCTCTCTCTCTCTCTCTCTCTCTCACCCTCCCTCAAAATAAATAAATAAACTTTTTAAAAAAGGGGGGATTTCCAGATTGCACGTGATTGCATAAGTCAGCATCTTCTTTTTCTCTGGAAATCATTAAAATTAAAACAATCTATATTGCAGAATTGTTAAGAAAAAGAACACAAAGAATATATCCCACTTCAGAGCAAAAGAGGGAGCCTGCGGCATACATTTCAGAGTAAATTCCTAGTGTAAATACTTGTATTGATATAAAAACAAAGGTCAGCAAAAAGGTCACAGGGCTGGAGCACTGTGGGTTAGGAGGTGAGATAAAGGAGATGTATTTAGAGATAACAGGGCCAGATTACCTAGAGTCTGGTAGGTGACTATAAGATTTTTGACTTGTATTCTGACAGAGATGAGAAGACATTAGAAGGTTTTGAACAAAGTCTGGTGTTTTAGAGAAACACTCCTGTTGCAGAGGACAGGGGCAGAGGTGGGGAGAATGGACAGGAGGCTGTGACCACAACCCAGGCAAGAGACGGTGGTGGCAGGGACCCAAGTGGCTGCAGCACAGGGGTGCCAACTGGCTGGAATCTGGTTCCACCATGAAAATCTTTCCAGAGTTGAAACAAAGTCCAAGCACATGCTAGTGTATGGGTAAAATGGCACGTTATATCCAGTAGGATTTTCAGGGTCAGTAAAAGACCTTGGTCAAGAACAAAGTAAAATCAATAGTGTCTTTTTATTCAGAGCAACAGGAGTGAAGAGTAGGAAAAGTTACCATAAGGAAGCCCTAAGTCTTATGAATGGAAATTTTAAATAATGTATTAGTGTTCATGACCCAAAAAATTAATCAAAGTTGAACTTGATCAGATTGGTCATTGTGTTTATTGCATGTATTTCAACAATAGAGTTCCTTTTTTTTTTCCTGAATTTAAGTCCATAAGCTATTTTGAAATTCATGCCAACTATTTCCAGAATTCAGAACTGCTTAAAGGTCATGGGCATTATTCAGCAGAGTTATTGAGGGCCCAGCATGAGAAAGAACAAATAGCTCCCAGTTATTGGTACTACAAATATATGGTTCTCTGTGGGTCTGAGGAGAAGAGTGGATTTCAAGTTACTATTCTTTATTAACTTTAAAAAGAGGCCTTTCTGCTTACCAAATAATAGGAAGAGGGAAAGAACCTGGGGCAGAAACCCAGTCCATCTGACCCCTTGGATATACCCCACTGAGGCAGTCCAGGACACCAGTTTTTAAACACTTTTTTTTTTTCTTTTTTTTCTTTTCATTTTTTAATGTTTATTTCTGAGTGAGAGAGAGACAGAGCACAAGTGGGGGAGGCGCAGAGAGAGAGGGAGACACAGAATACAAAGCAGGCTCCAGGCTCTGAGCCATCAGCACAGAGCCCGACGCAGGGCTCGAACTCACAGGGCTCACAGTCACGAACTGCAAGATCATGACCTGAGCCAAAGTCAGATGCTTAAACAACTGACCCACCCATGGGCCCCTAAACACTTTTCTGAAGGAGAATAAGGAACATGTGGCCCTTCACTACCAAGACCTGGCTGAAGAAAATGATGCTGGCCCATCAGGACTGGCTCAGCCCATTTGTCATTACTGCATACCTCACACAGTGCCTGGGATACAGCATAGGCTCAGTAAACATTCATTTGAGTGAATAAACAAAGGGCTGCATGTCCAAATTTTCACTGACAGCATTCTATCCCTTTATGGAATAAATATTATAAGTGAAGAACAACACATAGTGATTTTACAATAGGTCCCTTAGGTCAGCCAGACCTGATTTCACCCCTTGCTCTGTCACTATATGCTATAGAGTTAGTCAGGTTCTTTGCACTTATGTCTCATTTTCTTCATCTGTAATATCAGGATAATAATACTGACCTTCTGGGCTTGTCATAAGGATTAACTAGAATAACGCATGGAAAGAATGTAACACAGTGCCCGTAGTTATTCATTCTTGTTGTCAACACTAAAATGGCATTCAGATTATCAAACGAAGTTTTATAAAGATGGCCTCTTATAGATTTAACTTTTAAAATCTTTTTCCTTTTGCTATGAAAAACTTCAAATATATATAAAAGTAGAAAGTATAATGAATCTCCGTGTACCCAATATCTAGTGTCAATCATTTTCGGCTGGGGGTTGATTGGTGACCCTCTTCCTGACCCCTTGATTATTTTGAAGTGAATTCCAGGCATTGTATCATGTTATCTGTAATACTTCAATATGTATTTCTAATAACCAAAATCCCATATCACATTAAAAATAATTAATAATGATTTCCCAGTTAGGTGAATTGTTGGTCTGCTGAAAGCCACAAGGAGAAAAGAAAAGAATCAGGTCTGTCCAAGGCAGGGGCTTAGGCAAATTCTCTCCAGACCCAGCATGATGGAGGCACCCACTGTCACTGTCAAGGTAGATTCTTCCGATAGGCTGGAGGGGGTGAGAGTAGGGGGGGAAGGTGGGGGATGCATTGGAAGTCAGTATTTCAGGCTTGAAGCAAAGTAGAGCAGAGATCTCCTATTATCTGTAATTTTCTTACTTCCCAAAGCAAATGTCATTTCGTTTGAAATAATTCTGTACTGGGGCGCCTGGGTGGTTCACTTGGTAAAGCAGCTGACTTTGCCTCAGGTCATGATCTCATGGTTCAAAAGTTAAAGCCCCACATCGGGGTCTTGTGCTGACAGCTCAGAGACCTGGAGACTGCTTTGGATTCTGTGTCTGCCTCTCTCTTTCCCCCTTCCCGGCTTGCGCTCTGTCCCTCTCTGTCTTTCAAAAATAAATAAATGTTAAAAAAAATTTTTTTTTAAAAAGAAAGAATTCTGTATAAATTCTTCTGCTTCCAAATAGGTGGGATTTACAATTTAATTTTATCTTCTCATCTATGCAGATTATGATATCACACAACTAGGGAGCTCATTGAATGGTGACAGGACTGGTTTAGTTTCTGTAATTTAACATAGCACAAACGTTCACACATCTTTGAGAGAATTCTGTTCTTAGTATATTCTGTGCTTCCCCCCCTTCCCTTCTAATTGCCCCTTATTTGTTCTACAAAGTCAGTAAACCAGTACAAACCCCAATTTTATTCTCTGCTGCACTCATTAAACCTTGAATTAAAATAGTTTCTTGTTTTCTTAGCTAGAATTTGGAACGATTGGGTTGTTTCCAAACAAGAGCTAATTGGTGTTGAAGGTATTGAACATCAGGAGTGCAAACACAGGTTTTCGCCCCGCCCCCCCTACTTAAAAACCAAGGTTAATGCGAAGTCTAGACCTTGCTGGGTAACGTGGGTGAGTAAGTAGGTACTGCTGAGAGCCCTGGAGTTGTGACAAGGAGCAGCAAGACGGTGCAAAGGGGGCCTGAGGTTGGTTGCATGTTTCTTCTTTGAAAGCCTCGGTTTGCTTACGAGCAATGGAGATTCCACATGGAGGAGATAAGGGGTCTGCTTCAGAAGTGGGACACAGCACGGAGGTGCTGGGAAATCCGGCATATCTTCACAAACCCCTCCACACTGCCGGCAGCTACGTCTACTCCCCTTTGAGTAGGATTTGGAAGGCAGGGGTAATGTCTATCTGAATTGCTGCTACACCCTTGCTGCTGAGAATAATTCCTGGCACGTGATAAGGCAGCAAATCTTTGTTCAATTTATTGAATGAATGAGAACTGCTTAGCAACCCTCCCTAGTAGTCACTCAAGAGGCTGTTCTTCCAAGAACTTAAAAGAGACTAAGAAGATATTTCCTCTTTTGACCTAAAAATCCTAATTTAAAAAAAAAAAAAAAAAAAGATGATTTTCTTCGTGTGCTTTCAGTATAATTCCGGTGCCTCTAAAACCATGCGGTTAAAAAGATAGGTGAGAAAAATGAGTGTAATGAATCATAGGCAAAGAACAGATGACCTAGTTCGATCAGATTTCAAAGAAGATATGGAAAAAGACAGAATGCAGCTCAGAACGATTGTTCTCCACACTCAACCTTTTAAGGGTACATTTAGTCTGACAGCTCGAAATCTTTATCAGCTTGCTGGAAATGGAGGGTGGGCATGGAAAAGAAAAAGCATGAGTTGAGTGGGGCCCAAGGCCATCATGGACTGGGAAGACTGACCAGTAGGGCAGGGAGCTCTGTGGAGAGCCAGAGGGTATGGAGGGTGTGAGGTACCAGGGAGGCTAGTCAGAGAGCTTCCAAGAAGGGAGGAAAAGGAAGAATCTCCCAGAGACCCGACCAGCTCAAACCACTGCCAGGAGCCCAGATAGCTACACCTGCCACGTTCAATTCTCGGGAATCACTCTGCCAGTCAAGTCCTGGTGACTGGCAGGCAGCTTCTCTGCCTCCCGAGGCTAGATTCCCTGAAGGCTCAGGACTTGTTTTATTCCCTCACCTTTGAGTGCCTTGCACAATTTCTGCCCCACCCTGCCCTCCATTCCGCCAATCCTCAGTGTTCTGGCTTTTCAAAGCTAACTAAGTCCCAGTCCCAACAAAAACAAGCTGCCACACTGAAGTGACTTAGTGCACCTATCTTTTGGTGGTTTTTTATTCTTTTATAAGAATCTCAAAATAATAAGTAATATAATGTATTTAAAAAATGAAATTGTAGTTCCTTCAAGGAACCGCTTAAACCCACGAGGGGATGTCCGGCATGAGGATTCTACAGTTTCCTCTTCTGTCCAGAGCTGTGCTCTCATTGAGGGCAGCACTGGTTGTCTGACCGGTCGCATTGCAACCATGACGCCTAAACATTGCTTTCTAGGCTTCCTCATCAGTTTCCTCCTGACTGGTGTAGTGGGTAAGTGCTTCATTTCTTTTTAATTGTTCACGGCTTTGTCTTCTGAGTCTGCTCAAGGGACTGTTAGAAACGGCACTGGTGCTTCTCTGGGCTTTGTAAAAATGTCAGCTTTCTTCTGTCGTGAAATGATCAGAACAGACAGGGGGTCAACTTCTGTCTGCAGCCTGACTAACGCCATGCGGCCTTAATAAGTAGCTACCAAAGAGGAGGCATTCAAGAAACTTCACCCAGGACATAGGGACACCCACCTCTCTGTCTCCTTAGCGCTTCCTTTGCCTTCAAGGGACACTGTGGCATGGTGATTATGAGCAGCCCCCTAAGCCAGACTGCCCGAGTCTGGATCCCAGCTCTGTCGTTTACCATCTAGAAAACCTGGGGCAATTGACTTGGCCCCCTTGTGCCTCAACGTCCTCATCTGTAGAAAGGGGATTGTAAGTCACTGGGAGGAATAAATCAGTTAATATATACTGAGTGCTTAGAACAGTGCCTGGCACAGAATAGAGACCATAAGCTACATGTAAGAATTTGCTGTTGGTTTTCACAGAGGACTTTTCAAGAGCAGAGAACATCTTACCCCAAGACACCTCTGATCAAGGCCATTAAACCCCCCCAGTTAACAGGTACCTCTCAGTGTAAATGGTTCAAGTAACTGTTCTAAGACTATACTCAGTGGCTGGTAACATAAAAACAATTCAATCCCTCTTCTTTCAGAAAGGTGTGGATTTGAGTACAGTGCACCTTTGGTCTGCGGCAATAAGCAAGGGCTTGTTTAGCCAAATATGGCAGGAATTCAAGCACTACCAAAATGATTCAGGCTCTACATGTTACCAGGCCTGTAACTTTGGGCAAGATCCACAAAGTCTTTAAGCCTCAGCTTCCCCATCTGTAACATGTATTAAAAATGCCTACCTTATTAGGTGGTTGTGAATACGAAATGAGACATAAAGCTTCCAGCACGGTGCCTGATAAACGTTTGATGTTCATACATGTCCAGTGATCAGTGAATGCCAGCCAGAAGGAGGAGGAGGGAAAGAGGAGGAGAAAGAATATCCTCAGGCTCTCAGTGCAGTGTTTTTTTCTTCCCCCACCATTAACTTCTCTCTCCTGAGGGAGGCTCTGCTTTTGGTTTCTGTGGTGGGTGACAGGCAGGCCCTGTAGCCAGATGCTTGGGTACAAAATCAGCCTCACCGATTTTGTCTGGAAGAGGGAGACCGCAAGAGTACCTCTCTCAGAGAAGAGCTGGGCAGGTTACGTGAGTTAATGCAGGTACAAGCGCTCGGTGCCGGCACTGAGATTTGCTATTATTGTTGGTGGTGGCGGAGGTGGTGGTGTAAAAGTGAGAAAAGAAATCCAGAGACGGAGGACATAAAGTGCATTGAGCCGACACTCCTCGGGGTGGCAGATCAGCCCTAGGCGCAGCCTCTAGGAAATTGTGTGCATCGTGTCCTGAGACTTCTGGAGTGCTTACGTGCTATACAGGATTGATCCGGTAGTGATGCCCGTGAGAAAAATCAACGCTGGCTGTAGACTCTTACCATGAACACACCAGCATTTGATGCACTGGAGGAGTTCCAAAAAAGAAAAATAAAAGCAAACAAACCAAATAAAAGTATTTGGTTGGTAAAAACAAATACGTAAGGAAACAGCCTCCTTTATTAGACTGTAACAAATCTTAAATGTTCAGAGCTGAGATCAGGGGCTCAGGGCTCAGAAGTATGTTCTGACATCTCAGTGATTTTTGAGCAAACACTTGAAGGAGGTAAAGAAATGACGCATGCGGGGAGAGCAAGGGCCAGTGCAGGGATCCTCAGGCGGGACCACACAAAGCAGGGGGAAGCAAGAGTCAGGAGGCCACCCTGGAGGGGTGAGGGGTGGAAGATGTACCCAGGGAAAAAAGCAGGATATATTTCCCGACGTCCTCTCCTTCTGCTGGACTTCCTATCCCTGATCAGAAAATTTGCACTTGTTGGGAGGCAAAACTTCAAGTCTGCCCATCTTAGGCTTTGAGCTGGGACTCCTTAATGAAAAGACAGATTAACAAGAGAAAAACAAATTGTTTATTAACGCGTGCAGTGCCCATCACGAGGGAGGAACATAAGCAAAGAGTAACTCAATAGCATTTCAGCTTATCTAGCATCTTTGACGAAGAACAATACCTTTGCAGGGATATGACAGGACACAGGAAAGCAGTTGTAGGCTTCCAAGGGCGGCAGACTGTGGTAAGGGAAATGTATGGGAGGAAATTAATGGAAGAAGGTTTGTTTGCAGACTCCCATGGTGCCGTTCTGGGCTGATAAGTCCGTCTCCAGTAAAAAGAGAATTTGTATCTTGCCTTTAGGCAGACAAGGGAGAGAGTTTTCCTGTGTTTGCTGCTTCTTAATTGCCTTCAGCTCACAGTATTTTTTATGTCAAAGAGGCATATTTTAGTGACATATTCTAGTTTCCTGCAGACTCTAGAACAAAATTTTGTCAAGATCCCTTGCTTCCATAGGACTGAATGCAGGTGAGATTGGGTCACTCATTCAATCAGTTGTGGAGGAAAGCACAAGCCACGCCAATACACAATTATCCCCTCTCCTGCCACAATTATTGCCGAGACTCTTTTCAGAACACAACAGGGTCTTGGGCAGTCTCCCTTGATAGCACGGACAGGTTCATCTCAGCAATTATGCTTGGGTTCTTGGAGCCAAGATGCAAACTGATAAGTGCAGCCATTTAGGACTGGGGCGGCAAAGGCTCATCTACCTGAAATAAAGCCAGGTCACCTGGTAGAGGTTAGAGGCCGATGAGGCAAGACGCAGAGACTGAGAAAGAACCTGAGAAAGGAGAAACCGAGTTCTGGGCTGAGTTCCTAGAGTCAAAAATGGTCCCAGGCCAGATTTTGTCTCAGTGTAGCCGTAACATAATGGCTCCTAGGAAGGTGGGTGATTCCTTTAAAAAAAACCCTCAAGAAAGTCAGGATAGAAGGAACATACTTAAACATCATAAAAGCCATAGATGAAAAGCCCACAGCTAATATCATCCTCAATGGGGAAAAACTGAGAGCTTTCCCCTTAAGATCAGGAACACGACAGGGATGTCCAGTCTCACCACTGTTGTTTAACATAGTGTTGGAAGTTCTAGCATCAGCAATCAGGCAACAAAAGGAAATAAAAGGCATCAAAATTGACAAAGAAGAAGTCAAACTTTCACTTTTCGCAGACAGCATGATACTCTACATGGAAAACCCGAAAGACTCCACCAAAAGGCTGTTGGAACTGATACATGAATTCAGCAAAGTCACAGGGTACAAAATCCATGTACAGAAATCAATTGCATTTCTATACACCAATAATGAAGCAACAGAAAGAGAAATCAAGAAATCGATCCCATTTACAATTGCCCCAAGAATCATAAAATACCTAGGAATAAGCCTAACCAAAGATGTAAAAGATCTGTATGCTGAAAACTATAGAAAATTTGTGAAGGAAATTGAAGAAGACACAAAGAAATGGAAACACATTCCATGCTCATGGATTGGGAGAATATTGTTAAAATGTCAATACTACCCAAAGCAATCTACATATTCAATGCAATCCCAATCAAAATTGCACCGGCATTCTTCTCAAACCTAGAACAAACAATCCTAAAATTTGTATGGAACCACAAAAGACCCTAAATAGCCAAAGTAAAATTGAAAAAGAAAACCAAAACAGGAGGCATCAGAATCCCAGACTTTAACCTCTACTACAAAGCTGTAATCATCAAGACAGTATGATATTGGCACAAAAACAGACACGTAGACCAATGGAATAGAATAGAGAACCCAGAATTGTACCCACAAATGTATGGACAGTTAATCTTTGACAAAGCAGGAAAGAGTATCTAGTGGGGGAAAAAAAAACAGTCTTTTTAGCAAATGGTGCTGGGAGAACTGGACAGCAACATGCAGAAGAATGAAACTGGGCCACTTTCTTACACCATACACAAAAATAAACTCAAAATGGATGAAAGACTTAAATGTGAAACAGGAAACTATCAAAACCCTAGAGGAGAAAGGAGGCAACAACCTCTTTGACCTCAGCCACAGTAATTTTTTGCTCGACATATCTCGGAAGTCAAGGGAATTAAAGGCAAAAATGAACTATTGGGATCTCATCAAGATAAAAAGTTTCTGCACGGTGAAGGAAACAATCAGCAAAACTAAAAGGCAACCGACAGAATGAGAAAAGGTATTTGCAAATGACGTATCGGATAAAGGGTTAGTATCCAAAATCTATAAAGAACTTACCAAACTCAACACCTGAAAAACAAATAATCCAGTGAAGAAATGGGCAGAAGACATGAATAGACACTTTTCCAAAGAAGACATCCAGATGACCAACAGACACATGAAAAGATGCTCAACGTCACTCCTCATCAGGGAAATACAAATCAAACCACACTGAGATACTACCTCACATGGGTCAGAGTGGCTAAAATTAACAATTCTGGAAACAACAGATGCTGGAGAGGATGTGGAGAAACGGGAACCCCTTGCACTGCTGGTGGGAATGCAAACTGGTGCACCTGCTCTGGAAAACAGTGTGGAGGTTCCTCAAAAAATTGAAAATAGAACTATCTTACAACCCAGCAATAGCACTACTGGGAATTTATCCCAAGGATGCAGGAGTGCTGATTCATAGGGGCACATGTATCCCAATGTTTCTAGCAGCACTTTCAACAATAGCCAAATTATGGAAAGAGCCCAAATATCCATCAACTGATGAATGGATAAAGAAGATGTGGTTTATATATACAATGGAATACTACTTGGCAATGAGAAAGAATGAAATCATGCCATTTGCAGCAGCATGGATGGGAAAGAGTATTATGCTAAGTGAAATAAGTCAGTCAGAGAAAGACAGGTACCATATGTTTTCACTCATATGTGGATCTTGAGAAACTTAACAGAAGGGGGAAGGTTTGGTTCCCATGGGAGAAGGGAAGGGGAAAAAATAGTTACAAATGGAGAGAGAGGGAGGCAAACCATAAGAGACTCTTAAATACAGAGA